CCCCCCCTTCAATCAAATGATATTGAGATGAGATACTTTTTGCTAGGACCGGATGGGGGTTGAATATCGAAACTCGACACCTGGAAAACAAAAACATTATCTGATAATTCACATTCAAAATACGAGTACAATAGCAATTTATTGACTAGTACTACAGGTCATTTCTATGACAAACATGTGTATTTAACCCTTTAAAACATAATCCTTAAAACCTAATAAGACAAATTCAAAATTTTCAAAAGTAGCCTGAAAAAAGCATGTCGATACAAAATTGTGTGCTGATACCTTGGTGTCAATCAACATCAGTTTACATAATAAACAACAGATGATTTCCAGTGGAAAAAGATAAATAATAGAACAGATGTCACCCTAAGTTTCAATATTTCGGCCTCCTTGCCTTCTTAAAGGGCTAAATCAACGATTCTTCTGAAATGACGTACAAAATGTATGACGTCTCAATGACTCGCTGAATCTATGACTTTCGCCTTTTTATGAGACCGACATATTGAGACTTAGAGCGACATTTGTTCTAATATCAGTTTAGTTTTTTTAATTAAAGAATTTCATGGTTTTGACTTGACCAAGTGTTTGTGAAAAAAATAATTGATGACACTATTTTCACTTTTTGACAAAAATATGAATGATGAAATACTTTGACTCTGTGACATATTGACCTTTGACCTTTAGTCCATACTTTTTAAACTGATTGTCTTGTCTAAGAATCGTAGTACGCGCGTTTTGTATGTGAGGTGGAACAAAAAAACAGAAGGACACACACAAATGACAAATTATTTTAAAGAAGAAGTAAAAGACATATATTTCTACGTTTGTATCTAACATATTCAAATATATCTATTATTTACTGGGAGTGGCAGATTCAACGTCCGTGCAAAGAGTTCAGCGAACTTCTGTGTTACCCTGCAGACGGACTCCACAAGGAGTGCACGAGTCTGGCCGTAGTAGTAGAACTAGCAATAGGTTAAAGATGACCATGGCAACGTTGCGCTGGGTTTACCAGCTTAAATCAACATTTGTTAATTAGTTTCAACATATTAGATGTGTCGTTACCAGTTATTTTCTGATGACGACACATCTTATGTGTCGAAACTAGTTAATGTAATTTTGATTAAAGCCGGTCATCTTTACCTGTATCTATTATTTGCAATTTGAACACTCTGTATGTCAAGCATTGGTCTCTAAATGTATAATTAATTTTCATTGTTGTGCACGTACAGTACATATTTGCATGCTTTGACGTCACATGGTCCTCCTGCTTTAGGCGTATGCACGTGTACATGTCAAATCACCGATAGTCCCAGGAATACAGCGAGACATCCAGTGCCCGAAGGTAAGAGTTACTCCATAGACCACGAAGGAACATCTTTTTGTTTGCGTCTGCGCATTCTTAGTCTCGAACATGACTTTACAGATTCCCACATCCGGGAACTGAAAACGAGGTAGATCCAAGGATTCGTACAGCTGTTGAGACTGTATAGTAACAAAATGATGGTATAGGCAGAACCTGGAAAAAAGAAATAGGTAAGACAGGTTAGTAAGCCATTTATATTAGTTGCTTTATTGTTGTGGAGTTTACGTCAGTTCCACACATACAACGACGGTGCCACTCACGCGCGGACCGTTGAAGGGCTCTTAATTAGAGTGCAGTCACATTAAGAAATATCAAAATTTAGAGATGTCAGCATCGGTTATTCTATTCCGAAAACATTTTAGAAAGAGATGCAGTAACCATGAAAGCTGGTCAAGGTCATTTATTCAAACAAGTTTGATACATGAAGCACATCATTGCAGATGCAACACTACAAAACATTATTAATCTGTGTCATACGGATCTTAAAAAGAAGACAATTTTACCATAATTTACCCTCGAACCTAAAAAGAAACGTTTATAGGCATTTGTTCCTTGTAACATTGAAAGACTCACTGACATCCGTTAAAAACAAACGTGACTTCCATACATCACGATAGCTTTAACATAAATATAATTACTCTAAAGTTGGTCAATGGTATTTTAATTTTACCAACCAAGTTATTTGACAAACTTCAACATGGTGGATTTTCGAAAAACAAAGCCAACTGCAGTTGATTATTAACATATTTCAACCTGTGATCTTGAACTTGAATCAAAGTGTTTTATTTGAACCCTTTACACCAGCAGGTAACAACCAAAACATAATATTGCTCTAGGCTTTATGAATCTTTAATCGAAATCGTTATTTTTTTAACCTGTTTGACCCTGCCCTGCACCCAAGCAACCTACAAATATCCTTACCCTGTTCACTCTAGCAGATCGGGGATTGAAAAGAAAAATACACCTGCTGTTACCATCTGCACGATGTGAAAGGTAACTTATGTGGACCTCCGAACAGCCTTTTTTTCTTCTAGCGCCTTGTCTGGCGGTTATACCCCACATGTGGCCTTACTTGTGCAAGTTCGTCCAAGAGGAAGGCCGAGTATTATATCTCCAAGCGGGTACATACCTACATGTAAGTCCTTAAAATGGTGCTTGTTATTACGTACTAAACGTTCAGTATTTGGAGTGATCGTAATAACCGGTAAAGCTGTTGTCTGAATAATGTGGTCAGGCAGAATAATATGATGGGCCTTCGTCATGGTATTTCACTTAGAAAGCACTTTGAAGTCGGCATCAAATCCGCGCTATCACAAGACGGTAAACACATGTACACATCTATACCGCCTCACACACTCATATACTTTACACCCACGGATGCACCTTCTTAGATGGCTTTTGCGCAAAATAGGACGGTATACCCTTTAAACAAAACGTGACTCTTAGATGCTCTGGTTCTTGCGAAGAAGTCGAAATATTAAAACACGCACAAAGAGAAACGGCAAAAATCGATGGGTATAGCTCACATGTCATAATGTCTATTAAGGAGAGGACACAGAAAAAAATGTCATGGAGGATCCGCGTTAGTTGCCACATACCAGCATGCAGTGCAAAACGAGACGCCACGCGTTGCACAATACAAGGATGAGACTTTCAACTACGATGAAAACAGGCATCAAGTTATATTTAATTACAATGAAGACAAAATGGCAATAGAGATATGAGAATTTAATGAAATTCGGGAATAGTCAACATATGTTGTTTTATCATTTTAACTCTCGAAAAGCCAGATTGAACCAAACTAAGAACCACCATCTGATTGGTTAACGCCTTTGTGAAACTGCGTACTCCTGCATAAACAGACGTGCTTCCTGTAGTGAATGTAAACATTGCAATCGCTAGTTGTTCATTCACGTTTTTAGCCAATAATACACATTTATCCATGTATAAATAACCAAAATAATAAAGAAATAATCTGAATATCCTTTGCATTTAACAGTTCATTCACCATCTTCGTCGCGGAAAAAATCGTCATATGCCGTAGTGCTGTGGTTCTTAATTTGGTTCTTACCCGGAAAGTGAACCACAATATCCTCCAACTTGGTCACATTACAGCCGGAGTTTCCGTTGGCCATAACACCGGACTTTTAACAAAATGGGCTGTAAATTAGGTAATAAATGATAAAGAATGGAACCGTCTTATAACATGTAAGATAGTGGGTATCAATAGAGAGCAGCACTTTGGTCAGAAGTACATTTGAGGTCATTTTGCGTAACACCGTGCATTGATTGACGGGGGACTGTTAAACTGTAGATAGTGCTAACCATCTAGTGGCGACCAGGTCAGTTATGGATGACGTCGAGACAGGAACGAGAGAGGGAACTCCCCAAACGAGACATGGGTAACTGTCATTGTTGTTACGGTAGGAGAAAGTTAGCTTAGAAGTTAGATTAAATTGTCGCACGTGTCTTATTATACGCTCATGAATAGTTAATGTTGTATAGACTGTTAAAAGTATTTGGGGGAGAATTTGATAGGGATTCTAGAGTTGAAAGTCGGTATTCGAGGTTCAGGGATGTGAGCCTCTTGAGAGAGAGGCCAGGAAAGGCCTCGGCCGGAGGGGCCTTGGATGGCCCGGGTACAGCACTTGGTGTGCTTTAGAACAACGTATTTATAACTCTATATAATCCTTGAGCTTGTATTGTAGATTTGCTGTTGTTTTTCGGAACTATGTTAAAAAGGCCATTTACTAAATTTTGAGTGACCTTGCAGAGACGGGGAGAGAGCCTACACCAGGATAGGGGTATGGTCTCTGACTGTCGTGGACACAATGCGAAGTAGTCATAATAACACTATAAGTCCACAACATGTGTTTTTCAGCGTGTTGTGAAACCTTTTATAAACATATTTCTAGATGAATCTCGTAGAGACACCATCTGTTATCATTACAGAACTCAGCGTCTGGTATCACGATCACTAAATGCATTATAACACCCTCGTATCAGGGAATAGCAACAATTGTGAATTGTCGGCGCTTTCCGTAAACATAAAAACCGTGTTTTTTCGTTTACGGAAAGTGCCGACGAATCCCGATTGGGGATAGAAATACGCTTAACACTGTAATTTAGCAAATAAAAATCTGTATAGGGTATTCGTTATCTTACTCATTCTTCCATCTTCAAAATCTACGGAATGCTCTTGAAAAACTCATCAAAATGGCTTGTAAAATTGCAAGACACAATTTATAGAACATTTTGGCAATTTTCTACTTACTAGTGAAAGGTGCATACGGGTCGAACGCAGCCCACAGCTGAGCGAAGTGGAATGGAGAGCTACATACAAAGAAACAAAACACCACTGTTAGTGTCAGTCGAACTGTGCGAACCTTCGCACGTGGTATAGCGCCTCTTGGCTGTCCATGGCGACTATGGCCGTCAGAACTACCTCCCTTCCTGTATTGATAACTTCCATGTAAATCTCCCTTTCCGACTTGGTCGTTTCCCTGGTTATTTTTAGCTTTCTCCGACATATCTGTATGATTCCATTGAATATTTGTTGATGATACTATTTGTTCCCCAACCCTGCCTCGTTTCCAGACGGCATAGCACATCCGCCCATAACAAAAAGTCAAAATTATGATCGGTATGACGTATACGGTCACTGAATTAAACGTAATGTAAAGTTCCAAAGTCCACGACGGGTCAAATGTGGCCCAACAGTCGAACACTTCTGGTGTCCGCTCCATGTAGGAAAATATGTAAATTTGTGGAAGACTAAGGATAAGTGATATGATCCAGGCAATAGCTACCATGTAGTGGACAGTCCGGGATGACCATTGGTGAGAGACCAGAGGTCGACAGATGGCGAAGTACCGGTCAATGGCGGTCATCACAAGCACGTACGCCGAAGCATACACAACCACGAGCTGGAAATACTTCACAAAGCGACATATGACGTCATTTCCGTAAAAGACATACGTCACATCCCAGATGAGTTGGGGCAGCACGTTGAAGAAAGCGACAGAAAGGTCAGCTGCACTTAGATGTAACATTAGTAGATGCATTCGCGTGAGACTGCGCCTGCGCAGAAGAAACACTAGGAAAACAGTCGAATTTCCGAAAACTGCCAGAATAAAAATTGCAGACGACACTCCTATTTCAGCTTGTGCTAATTCCTCATTCCTTTCATTATTTTGAATGGTTCTGTTGGCGTTACCAAGCAACGCAGAATTGGAAGTGTTTTCCATTTTCTTCCTGTAGAAAAGTCACTTTTCAAGTTGTGTACACCTATTCAAGCATATTTAGAATACATGTACCCTCATCACTCATAGAAATAACACTGACTCAGACTAGCTGTTCTTGGTTACAAAATAAATGTCTTTCTAATTGTGGGTTTATGTTTACGCAAAACACAAATTTAAACGACAGTGATGTCCTTGATGGTCTCAAAATGACTGTCTGAACTGCATGAAATATTAAAGAACGTAAACGCTACATTGGACACGAAATTATCTGTTTGCGCACGCCCAGTAAATCATTTCCGTTCTCGGGAGTTAATGGGTGGTTATCTTGGCGTCTTCTTGATACATTGGAACTCTCCATCGTCTAGGCACCTCCATTTTCTCTGAAATGGAAATAGGAAATTAGACCAAGTATACTTAATATGTATCTGTCGCGTTAATGGAAGCTGTTTCTGGATTTATGAGGGACAGTCAAATTACTATAGATAATTGATAATTTGGACGTTCGATACGACAGATGAAGATTTCTCCTTGTACTTTACCGCGACATACTTTCTTACTAGAACCAACGATTGGCTTGATTCGTTTCCCATCGATCATTCAATGTATATGTTTATGAGAAAAGATGTTTATCTTATTGACGTTTGTGGAGCCCCGCAGGGTTTTCATATATATGCAGGAGGGTTAGGTTGGTTTGGTTTGATATTTGTTGGATTTAACGTGCTATTAACAGTCAAGGTTATTCAAGGACGTGCCTCCAGGTTTGTTATGCATACGTGAATGTGTACTGGAGCCGGTATTGTGGTTGATTTGTGTCTTTGCGATAGCGCGGATCTGATGCCGACTTTATAGTGCTACTTCAGTGAAATATTATGTTCAAGGCACCTAGCATAGCATTCTATTTTACAACATTACACCTGCAACGGGTGTAGGTAGTTGTAGCGAGTTGGTAGGGCCGCGGGGAGCTGAGATTTCTTTTACAGTTTCATTTGGGCCTAAACTAAGGTGTTCACAGTAATTTTACACGTTTTCGGTCAAAATGCCACTCCATTGATGGTATATTTGAAAAGGCTGAAAGCTCTCGATGCCGAAAAGGCGACCCCACCTAACTTCTTCGCATCAAAAATCACATTTCTAACTGTTTAAAAAAATGTTTGGTGCCGTTGGAAAGATTGTGAATTTTTCTTTCGTAAACCTCCTATGTGTATGCAATATGTAATTTCGGTCCAACGATATTATCTCCGTTTCTTCCAAAAACACGCAAATTTTATGAGTTTCAAAGTTGTTGCAGTCAAAGAGCCAATGTTTCCATATTCCTGAGGTTGACGTCAGCCACGTGCCGAATCATGTAGTTTAAGGTTTGAGAGGCACAACTTATTTTCTAAATAGTTGCAATCACAGGGGTCGAATACAATACGGTAATAGTTGTGGTAATAATAATAAATCATTCCATTTAACAGTCCCCTGCGCACTTGCAATGACAGGGAAGAATCGATAAGGCACCAAACAATACATGGCACATGAAACGGACAAGGAAACCCATTTTACCCTTGAGCGTTCTTACAAATATCTCGAGTATTCTTATTAATTCTTGCTTTCGACCGAATAAAGCAAGGTACATGCAGCAGACGGCGGAACCCATTTCACCCCTGAGCGTTCTAAATCAGATTCTTATTAATTCTTGTTTTTCGTTCTCGGAGTGTCGGAGTTATCCAATGATGCTATGCAGTAAGTACTGGGTGTATTGAGTTCGATAATTTACAGTATGCTTCCGTAAGCACCATTACCCCGTGTCGGTCGACCGTGAGGATAAAGACGTTTACGGTCGTCCTCACAAACTGCTGGGGATTTCTTTGTCTACCACGATTGAAGACATCGTGGGTGTATTTGTTTGCTTTGCCGGAGAGGACCGGCAGATGTCCAATGTCATTCGTTTGAATTCGGTAGTCATCTTCTAAGCGGGGAAATACGTCAAAATACATACAATTTCTTGTAGGATATGTTGATATTCTTATATTACAACGATTTTGAAGCGATGCCATCGATGCAGTTTGTCATATGGCAACAAGGCACGTTTATTTTTAACAACACGTGCGTCAAATTTACAACAGTGAACTAGGCAATATTCCGGATTCGATTACAGACGGATACAAAAACTACATCTTGTTCTTTTTATTCGTATGTAACCTTCATCACGTCTTTACTTTTTACTCAAATACACTAAAATTCAATTAAATCATACTCAATCATAATCATAATACAAATAATGTGAACTACTCAAATACTCTCAAAAATGAATAAAATATACTCAAATACTCTCAAAAATAAATAACATATACTCAAATACACTAAAATTTAGATAAAATATACTCAAATACACTCAAAAATAATTAAAACATCCTCAAATATTAAAAAATAAACCATTTTTCACTCTGAAAATTGCAAACAGGATGGGTCACGTCACGATCGTTAGATTGTATTTGTTTTTATATCATATAGGCTGTCTGTTTACCTTATATATGTAGATTATTCTGCAGACCCGTTCGTTTGATACCCATCTCCAGGATATGACCAGGACCGATCGTTGAGGGAGCAATCAAATACACCCCGTGTCTCCGATCGTTTGTGACCGATATATTTTCTAAATATGAACGGAAACATCATGATGGATACTACATGTGGTTGCCGGAAAAGCTGCCATCGTCTAAGCTCTTTGTCGTAGTAAACAACGTATAAGTTTGTTTTGGCGGGATTTTGATTCCTGTTATTGCTCTTTCCTGACAAATTTTGAAAATGTTTTCACATTGTGGTGAAGGGTAAAATGTGGGAGTCAAGACATTAAATACGCTTGTAAAAGCTATACAGTGTATAACGGTGGGGCTAGCGATGGTATATTATTACTATGCTATAATTGTATATAATACAATGAAAATATTGTATAAAAGATTAATCTACAATAGCGATGTTATATCGATACGATGCTATGTTCGACGATACAATGATAATCGACAGAGACGTAACTTACGATCATAGATTTGCGATTTTACGATAGTTTTATGGAAGATCACTATATATATGTATATATAAAAAGAAAAATTCTCAACAACGAGTCTTTAGTACTTTCATCTCTTCTAGGATATTCTTCAGACTGTTAATTTGAAGTAGATGTTCTGACGTCATAAATCGCTGCCACAGTGAAAACCCTGATTTTCTGTCAGGCCAAGATTGCAGTGATGTTTTGAAAATTTCCTATTATGACGTCAACAATTTATGCGTAGACCCAATTACGTTTACTCCGGAAACGTCATGGAAAAATACATTGAATTACTTCATATTCAAACGACCATATAAAACTATTACGATCTTCTAGAACCACATGTTATACCTCTATGGAAAGCTTTAATAATTATCTATTACTTGATATAATTACATGTAATTCGGCAGTTAGTGCGCATATAGCTATACCGGCCGATATTAAGGTATATTGTAGAAACTTGCAGATGTGGACATTTTTACCTTTAGTGTATGACAACGAATTAGAATGTTTGTACGATCTGTTGTACATAATCATATATGATGCTCTCTATTTCCTGCAATTTCGAAATCCAAGGGTTACAAGCTCAGTACAAAATCGAGGGCGGAAGTCTTTTATTTCGAAGACATATTTTCAAAAGAGTTGTGATATTGTTCAGTTGAACGTGCACGAACATAGAACCGGTGAGTCATTTCTCTATTTCGTACATGTATTCGTCTTCTAATCACAGTCAGATACTGTCGGTATCGCTAATAATTATAATATAAAGCCTAATTAATTTGTTGGGATGGGGTGGTGGTTAGGGCGGCAAATTTTGTTTACGTAACAAATACCGATATGACGTAAATAAAAAAAAATGTGTAACGCCATTCATAGCAAATCATAGCCAGCAAAACCTTAGACAACGTTATCCACCAAACTGAAACTTGGCTAGTGGTAGCTGTGTAGCGTCCAAATGTCCCAAAATGATGCTGAACCATTTTATTCAATAATATTTACTACATCTTATGAGGAATTTGTAATACAAACAACAGGTGAGACATTCTTCTTGTAAGTTAGGTTAACTGAATCAAACCATTGATAACTAAGACAAACAAAACAAAGTACCGAATATTTCTGCCGACAGTATAAACTATTTCACAGTTCTTTTATTGACGTCTTCACGTTCATAATACAATAACCTGTTCTCACTGATTCCTGCTCGCCGAGGCACATATATCTTCGTCAAACCAGGTCGTTACATGTAATTAGTAACTGTTTGAAGCGACTTAGAGAACCACAGCAGGACACGGTACACGCAGTATATACTTTGTGGTATCATTGAGCATGATACTTAACTCCGGTTGTTCCAGTCTACTCAGCTGTAAATGAGTACGTGGTTGGGCAGTGCAAGAATTGTAGAATGCTAGCTGTGAGCGCTGAAATGGCAGCACCGGCTGTATGCTCCCCCAGGGAGCTGAGGAAGATACTGGCTGGTCGCAAAGGCCCTATAACCACGGATAATAATATGTGAACCGGTTTGAGACGACCTACGAACTAGGTTGTGATTAAGCGGTAAAGAAGAATCTCGAATAATTATTATTACTATCTAATAAATACATCATTGTCTTACCTTCACCACCGTATAGAAGCGTACTGTTGTTTATCGGAGGA